CGTCTGAGCTCAGGGTTCAGCTCAACAGGAGGAGGCTGAGGTACGAACTCAAGAACCCCATTCCCCTCTTCCTCCTCCACCACTTTCTGCTTCTTCTGCAGTGCCCTCCTCTCCTCCCAACCCTTCCTCTTCAGCGCTGGCACCTCCTCCTCCGTCTCAGCTGAAGCCACGGGCACTACCTCCTTCTCGGTCCTCCCCTCATCCACTTTCTTGGTTGAAGTCTTTGACTTCTTCCTTGGCTTCTTGGGGATGGGCGCTCCTCCAACAGTGTTCAAAAACTGGTCCATTTCAGCTGCAAAGCAAGAAATACAATGTTAGTCATAATTTTATATTCTACATTTAACGCTACAGTGCATGATAAACAAACCTTCACTTAGAGCGCTTGGCCCATAGAGCTCAGCAGCCTCTATGCATGCCGCGCTGGTGAGGTCCATGATGTTCAACACATCTCCCCCCTTCCTCACCAACTTCCCCACTTCTTCCTTCTCATCCTCATTTAAACTAAACCTATTCTGGTTGGCCCTTTTGGCCTTCCAGGAGGCTAACGCCCTCACCTCGGCATCCCCCTTCCCCCACTTCGTATCATCCACAAAAAAGAATTTTTCCTTCCATCCCTTAATGGATGAAGGACCCGCAGTGAATAAAATCATACTCTCCTTCTTAGCTACCCTAAGGGTGAAACAATACCACCCCTTATCCCTCCTACTTCCTCCCTTTAAAACAAAAAAGTATTTAAACATATTTACAGTTGGCACACTAATCCCCTGAGCTCGGCAATAAACTAAAAAACCTATTATTACCCTCATTGCATTGGGGACCAACTATGTCAACCCTATGTTGTAATCTAATAGTAAACCCACAAGCAACTCCGGAATTGGAAACTTAAGCCCAGCATACAAATAATGGGAGTATAAGGGCATCCAATGATCCAGAGGAGCAGAGCACGCCCTCTCCCCTTCCCCAGCTGGCCTAATTAACACTCGCGAAGAGATCTCGTAATTCTCTACCAAGTGACCCAGGCTATCCCTGGTCCTTAGCTCAGACCTGTACTGCTTCACCTCCTCCACTATCTCCGCATTCACATCATACTCTCCCCCTCCTCTACCATCTATTTCTACTACGGTAATGGGTATGCTATCTCTCCCAACCCCCACCACCTTATTTTCCCTAACCTCTACCACCTCATCCCCCTCAACCTCCACCACCTCATCTCCTCTCACCCCTTCGACCGTCTTCTCCGAACTAGATGGAGACGGACTACTCTCTGAGTCCATGCTCCCATAGTCCAGGGGCATCACCTCACTCCCTACTACACTTCCTGTCCTTTCTGAAGACATTTTCTCAAACTCTGCACGAAGTAGGGGGGAGGAATGAAGTCAGACCCATTAAAAAAAAAAAAACAAAAAACCCCCTCCATTACACATTCAAAACCCTTCTCATCTCTAACCCTAACTTCCTTCAGAGGACTCTAAATCAATCACAGAAAGGGAGAAAGGAGAAAGACACTTCAATTAACTTAAAATCAGAGTTTCGTCTACATTACCTAATCTCGGTTTCGAAAGACTTGATTTAGAGTTCCCCAGTTGATGCTGCAGTTCACGCACAGGAAACGCACAGTAAAGCTTCTCGCAGAAGTTTTGCAGGAAAAGAAATGCAAGTAAACCTTTTTCTGCAGAAAAAATGCCTATTTATACTTCTAGGCAAAATTAGATCTCAATGGCTGAGATTCGTTTAATCTTACGGTTCCTGTTGACACCGTTTGGAATTCGACGGACAACCCCAAACGGTACCGTTTTGAATTTGACGGTTCATTTTTAAATTTGCCCGTTTAACTGTCGTAGTTATCTTTTTACGGCCGCATTTATTGCGCACCTCATTTCAAGGACAACTGTCACACCACGTGTTACCCCTTTGTCAGATTTTTCAGAACGAACCCACTCACGACCATTTCAACACCTTTCTTTACTTTTCTCAATTTTGTCAAGTGTTTCACTTCGGCTCCAGCCACAATAATGCTGCATTACATTTCACATCGGCTTCGGTCACAATGACCCAATATCACACATTTTATTTCGGCTACGGCCATTATGACTCCGGTCATCATATTTTAAGCCCAGCTCAGCACTCCTGCTTACTTTTACAATTACACTTTTTGATGGGCAAAGTGTTTTACTTCAGCTCCGACCACAGAGACATGTTCTACTTCGGTCCTGGTTACTGCGACCACATGTCACATACTCTACTTCGGCTCCGGCCCTTATGACTCCGGTCATTATATTTTATTACGGCTCCGGCCATTATGACTCCGGTCATCACTTTTCATCACAACCTTGGCCTTTGTAACTCCAGTTATCATTTTTATCATGACCCTGGCTCCATTATAACTTCGATCATCATCTTTTACATTATGACTCCGGTCATTATTTTCACCACGACCACGGCAGTGATAGTTCCAGTCATATTCCATTTAAGGCACCCCAGTATGACCCACTGTTATGTATTTCATTATTAGCTACGGCTATGTCTAAATTTAAATTACAGCTTTCTTCCTTATACTTCCATGACTTATCCGTAATTCCTTTGTTCATGC